ATTGGTTGAGAACATAAATAATCTTTTATCAAGTTAAAACAATCTTCGCAGTCTTGTGACCAATAAAATTTTACATCTTTTCTTAGAAGTCTATGTAATGGTTCAAATTTTTGAGCACTGTTTTCAATATATTTTAGATAAAAGTTGATAGAGCCTAGCACACTTCTTACTCCTGATTTATCTGTTGGTCTCTTAAGATTCCTGATAGCAATTAAATTTTCTTGGGATGGTGCTACTTTGTTTTCTTGAATAATATGTCCAAGATATTTAGTGGTATTAGTAGCAAAGTTACATTTTGTTAATTTTAGTTTAAAGCCTTCATCTGAGATAACTTGTAAAAACCTTTCAATATGATTAATGTGTTCGTTCCAAGAGCGTGAAAATATAAGAATGTCATCAATGTAGTTAATACAAAAATTATCTAGATTATTTCGTCTTATAATGTTAGATAATATACGTTGAAATATCGCTGGTGCGTTTTTAAGGCCAAAAGGTAAAACTTTAAACATAAATTTTCCATATTTTGTGATAAATGATGTTTTTTCTCTATCTTCCTTTTTCAACCTTATACACCAAAATGCGGAATTTATATCTAGTACAGTGAAATATTTGCAATTTGGCACTTTATCTATCACATCATTTATAGTAGGAAATGGGTAACATTCGGGAACAACTAGTTTATTTAGTCGTCTAAAATCGATACAAAGTCGTGTTCGACGACCATCATCTTTTTTAAAGGCAAGAGTTACTGGTGAAGCATATGGGGAGTCTGATTCTTCAATTAAATTGGCTTCTAATAACTTTTTGACTTGAGATTTGATTTCTTCTTCATCAACTATTGAACATTTATATGGTCTTGCTGTTATATATTTATCTCTGATTAGTTTTATTTCTGCTTCTTTAGATTTAACTTTTCCTACATCATATTTATCTTTAGAAAACATATGCTTGTACTTAGTAATTAGATTTAAAATTTTATTTTTTTAAATTCATCTTCAATATGGTTTAAATTTGCTTGAAATGTATTAGCACTTGAATTTTCATTAAAATTAACTTCAGAAATCTCATTTAGTTCAACTTCATTAATTTCTTGTAGATTTGATTTCTCATCAGTTAGTTTATTCGAATTTAACATCTTGTTATTAACGGTCATTTGGTCTCTTTCTTCTATTTTAATTAGTTCATTTTTATTTATTCTTTGTAAAATATTGAAATTTTCATCTTGAATAAGTTTAAACTTCTTTATTGCATCAAGACCCAGTATCAGGTCATAAGAAAAATTGTTATTTTTGACTACATAAGTTTTTAAATTATTAGTTAGATTACCTATTTTCAGAATTACATTTGCCCGGGCCGAACTGAAATTGAATCCACTGATAGTTTTAAATGCATTTTTATTATTCATTAACCCAAGTTTTAAAACATCTATGATTTTCTGGTTTATTAAACTTATATTTGAGCCACTGTCGTAAACTGCTTTCACTTTTAATTTATTATCTATAAGAACATTCACTCTTATCAATGCATTCAATTTCTCCGGGCCATCTAGTTTAAAGAATTC